TAAACATTCAGTTAAATTATACTTAAACATCATTCGGTTGGTTTCTCAAGTTAACTATGGGGTATGTATTCGGTTGTTACTATACTCTACATAGCTCGTTCGGCAGCTACACTAATTCATGTATTAAACTCGAATTCAGCCAGTACTACAAGGGAATTTCGCCCCCTACTGGTTACAAATGTTACTGCAGGATATCTATGCTGAATAAGAATATTGTAAAACAAGTTGATGGCTCCTGATTTTCTGAATCTGTTTTTCCCACAGAGTCATCCCAGTGGTTCATTCTGGTTTAATTTTGGGTTATGAAGGCTAATGTTACATATTACAGTAGTTAAGTATGTATTTTTACTTTTAGGTTGTTTACCTTCAATACGGTAGCTTTTTACAAGCACGGAAAACCGTCGTCAATTTCATGATATCTGTCGGGATCCCGCGGGCGGCTGCGAGGGGAGGCTGCACTCCGCTCGCGGCACTCACCCTCCAGCCGTCCGCGGTCCCCTCCTCCTCCTGGGTCCGGTGAGCGGCATCCTTCCAGCCTCGGATGCCGCCCGCCGTTCCCTCCACGTCTCCCAGCGGCAGCATACATGACGCTGCACGCTGGGAGACCACCCAAGTTTGTACACGCCGGGGTCAGTCACCTGACCCGGCGTTAAAGGCACAGTGCCTCAATCACAGTGGGAGGTCTAAATATCTCCCACGTGTGATTGTTAATTCTGATTGGAAATTATCCAATCAGAATTAACCTGATGGTTTAAATACTTACCTTTCCTGTTCCTCCCTGCCCTGTTGTGGTCTTTGCTTGCTAGTATTGCTACTTACCTTGTGTTTCTGGTTACGTACTCTCTGGCTTGTTTATCCGACTTTGTGACTTTCTCCTACCCTTTGACCTCGGCTCGTTTCACGTTATTCTGTCTTCTGGTTCCCCTTACTCGGCTTGTTTCCTGACTATTCTGTGTGTGCTTAGCCCGGCCACTCTAAGGTCCGGTACGGCACCTTTGTGTGTGTGTGTGTGTGTGCCAGCGTGTTGGGTTCCCCGAATCGTGACATTACAACAGGGCCATAATGGAACCTGCTGACATACCACAGCTCCTAGTTAATCAAGAGGCTAGAATGGATGGCTTGGACCACCGTATGGATCAGTTTGCTCAAGCTTTGCAAACCATTCTGGCTCGTACTGCACACTTGCAACCTGCCGTTCAGGAGGCTGCTGCTGCTGTGCCCGAACCCATTCCCACTCCAGTACCTGTTCCCGCTCATGTAGTTCACATGACGCCGCCACAGCGCTACAGTGGTGACCCAGCATTGTGTCGTGGTTTCCTCAACCAAATCGACATCCATTTGGTGATGAATCCACGCTCCTATCCCACTGACAGATCTAAAATTGCCTTTTTGATAAACCACTTGTCCGGGAGAGCTTTAGCATGTGCCAACCCCATTTGGGAAAATACGTCTCCTATGTCCTTTGCAGATTTTCTGACAGCTTTCAGACGCACGTTTGATCAACCCGGTAGGGTTGCTTCTGCTGGCAAAGCTCTGCTTAGGGTCCGACAGGGTAACAGGTCTGTAGCAGACTACACTATCGAATTTCGTACTCTAGCAGCTGAAGTGGTTTGGAATAATGACGCCCTCGTAACAGCCTTTCAGGAGGATCTGGCCGCTTATATACTGGATGAAATAGCATCCAGGGAATTACCTGCTCTTCTAGATGATGTTATAGACTATGTGATTCTTATCGATAACCGTATTAGAGAGAGGCGTAGCCAAAGACGGTTGGATACACGGGTGTTACCTGCTCTACCCAGTACTTCACTGCTAGCGTTACCCGCTCCTATGCAACCATCCCCTGAACCCATGCAGTTGGGTGCTACGGGGTTAACTGAGGCCGAAAGAGCGTACCGTAGAAGGGAGGGGTTATGCCTTTATTGTGGGAAGAGGGGGCATCACTGTAAAGCCTGCCCTAAAGTACAGGGAAACTGCAACACCTAAGGCCTAGAGAGGGGTCGGCCTCGGGTGTTATGACTTTGTCCCCTCATATGTCCATCTCCAGACCGTTTATTACGGTTTCTCTCTTGGTCAATAAAACCACTATAACAACCAAAGCCCTGATCGATTCGGGTGCGGCAGACAACCTTATGGATGAGACCTTTGCCAAAACCGCAGCCCTGAATTTGATCCGAAAGGAGACACCCTTGGCCGTTGAGGCCATAGATGGTAGACCACTGGAGAAACCTCTGGTGACCCATGAAACCCAGGAAATAGTTATGTCCGTGGGTGTTTTGCACAAGGAGAGGTTAACCTTCCAAATAATTGACTCCCCAACAGCCTCCATCGTTCTAGGTTTTCCCTGGTTAGTTAAACACAACCCTGTTCTTGATTGGGGTTGTTTAGACATACTCTCCTGGGGGGAATCTTGTCAGCGAGACTGTATGGCTCTTGTACGTCCTGTTTGTTTACTAAACGTGCCCACGGCTAAACCACTCTCGGTTTCTGTCCCTTCTGTTTATGCAGACCTTGCCTTGGTTTTTGAAAAGAGGGAGGCAGATAAGCTACCTCCACATCGTGAGTATGATTGTGCCATAAACCTCTTACCAGGCACTATGCCTCCTAGGGGAAAGGTCTACCCTCTTTCTGAAAAAGAGAACCAGATCATGGAGGAGTACATACGGGAATCCCTAAGAAAAGGTTTTATTAGAAGGTCCTCCTCTCCTGCTGGTGCTGGTTTCTTTTTTGTGGCTAAGAAGGAGGGCGATTTGAGGCCATGTATAGACTACAGGGGTCTGAACAATATAACGGTTAAAAACGCCTACCCTATCCCCCTCATCACTGAGTTGTTTGATCGTGTTAAAGGTTCTAAATTCTTCACCAAATTAGACCTCAGGGGGGCTTATAACCTTGTCCGTATAAAGGAGAATGACGAGTGGAAGACAGCGTTCAACACACGCAGTGGGCATTACGAATATCTGGTCATGCCTTTTGGATTGTGTAATGCTCCTGCCGTGTTTCAGGACCTCATAAATGATGTCCTTAGGGATCTATTGCATGTCTGTGCTGTAGTGTACCTTGACGACATACTTGTGTATTCTCCTGATTTGAAGTCACACCATAACCATGTTAGGATGGTGCTCAAAAGGCTATTGCAGAACGGACTCTACTGTAAGTTAGAAAAATGTTTATTCGATCAGACCTCTGTGCAATTCCTAGGATATATCATTACTGAACAGGGTTTCAGTATGGATCCTGCTAAATTGGAAGCTATAATGTCCTGGCCACTTCCCCAAGGACTGAAGGCTATCCAGCGTTTTATAGGATTTGCCAACTATTATAGGAAATTTATAAAAAACTTTTCACCACTCATCTCTCCTATAACGAAGCTGACAAAAAAAGGTCTACACCCTAGGGTTTGGACTCCTGAAGCCCTTAAGGCCTTCGAAACCGTCAAGAAGGCATTTGCCTCTGCTCCAGTGCTGCACCACCCTGATCCTTCTCTTCCCTTTGTTATGGAAGTAGACGCTTCGGAGTCAGGTGTGGGAGCCGTACTGTCACAGAGGTTGTCATATGACAAACCCCTCCATCCCTGTTGTTATTTTTCTAAAAGGTTGTCTGATTCAGAGAAGAATTACGATGTTGGGAATAGGGAACTATTAGCTATTGTGTTAGCTTTCAAGGAATGGAGGTACTTATTAGAGGGTTCTAGACACAAAATTATGGTTATAACAGATCATAAGAACCTATTCTATATTGCTGATGCTAGGAGGTTATCAGCCCGGCAGGCTAGATGGTCTCTATTTCTCTCACGCTTCCAATATGTTATTACCTATAGACCTGGTTGCCGTAATGCCAAAGCTGACGCTATCTCTCGGCAGCATGAACCAGTAGAATTTGTTAACCCGACTCCTGAACCTATTGTACCTGCGTCTCAGATAATAGCTGCTACCCGTTTGGTTGTTTCTTCACCTTTCTTTGATAGCATTAAGACATACCAAACCCGGGCACCCCCTGAGACGCCAGTTGGTAAACTATACGTCGAAACAAATGACAGAAAAAAGTTGTTAACTTTATTTCACACAGCCAAAACTGCTGGTCATCCGGGGGTTACCAAAACCTACAAGGGCATCCTTCAACAGTTCTGGTGGCCTTCACTCAAGCGAGACGTAGTGGATTTTGTTCAGGCTTGTCGGGTCTGCACGCAGTGTAAGTCCCTTAATATGAGACCCCAGGGTTTTCTGATGCCTCTATCTATACCCAAGAAACCATGGACCCACTTATCCATGGATTTCATTGTAGACCTGCCTCTTTCGGATGGTCAGACGGTGATACTGACTGTGACGGATAGGTTCTCTAAAATGGCGCACTTTATTCCGCTTAAGAAACTGCCTTCTGCGGTTCAGTTAGCTCAGGTGTTTGCCAAAGAAGTGTTCCAATTGCATGGGGTACCTCAGGATATCGTATCTGACAGGGGTCCTCAATTTGTCTCTCGGTTTTGGAGGGGCTTTTGTGCTGAGATGGGGGTCTCCTTGTCGTTCTCTTCCTCCTATCACCCGCAATCTAATGGTGCGGCAGAACATGCTAACCAGCTTGTGGAATTGTATTTGCGCTGCTTCACTAATGCGCACCAGGATGACTGGTCTCGCCTTCTTCCGTGGGCTGAACTTGCCAGGAATACGGTGCCTCATTCGTCTACTAGCTTAAGTCCTTTTGAGGTTGCTTATGGGTTTCGTCCTTCTGTCCTTCCCGGTGCGTTCTCCGACAAGGGAATGCCCGCCTTGGACCAGCACCTCGCCTCTGTGCGGAAGACATGGGATCAGGTCCATGTTGCGCTGTCTCATTCAGCAGCTGCTCAGAAAAAGTTTGCTGATCGCTGTAGGGTTGCGGCCCCTTCATATGTTCCGGGTGATAGGGTATGGTTGTCCTCCAGGAACCTCCGTCTCAAGGTTCCCTCGATGAAATTTGCCCCCAGGTTTCTTGGTCCCTACAAGGTGTTACGTAGGGTTAACCCCGTTTCCTACTCCCTTGATCTGCCTCCTTCCATGCGTGTCCCGAACACGTTTCACGTCTCGCTTTTGAAGCCCTTGCTGTGTAACCGGTTCTCTCGTCCCCTCGGGCGGCCCGTTTCCCCTCGCGCTGTCTCTGACGATGTATACGAGGTGGCCGCTCTTCTCGACTCTCGTGTTTCTAGGGGCCGGCTGCAATATTTGGTGGATTGGAAGGGGTACGGTCCTGAGGAGCGGTCCTGGGTTTCGAGCTCTGATGTGCACGCTCCCTCTTTGGTCCGCTCCTTTCATGCCCGGTTTCCTTTGAAGCCTTCCGCTTCCCGCCCTCGGGCGGTCTTCGAGGGGGGGTAATGTCGGGATCCCGCGGGCGGCTGCGAGGGGAGGCTGCACTCCGCTCGCGGCACTCACCCTCCAGCCGTCCGCGGTCCCCTCCTCCTCCTGGGTCCGGCGAGCGGCATCCTTCCAGCCTCGGATGCCGCCCGCCGTTCCCTCCACGTCCCCCAGCGGCAGCATACATGACGCTGCACGCTGGGAGACCGCCCAAGTTTGTACACGCCGGGGTCAGTCACCTGACCCGGCGTTAAAGGCACAGTGCCTCAATCACAGTGGGAGGTCTAAATATCTCCCACGTGTGATTGTTAATTCTGATTGGAAATTATCCAATCAGAATTAACCTGATGGTTTAAATACTTACCTTTCCTGTTCCTCCCTGCCCTGTTGTGGTCTTTGCTTGCTAGTATTGCTACTTACCTTGTGTTTCTGGTTACGTACTCTCTGGCTTGTTTATCCGACTTTGTGACTTTCTCCTACCCTTTGACCTCGGCTCGTTTCACGTTATTCTGTCTTCTGGTTCCCCTTACTCGGCTTGTTTCCTGACTATTCTGTGTGTGCTTAGCCCGGCCACTCTAAGGTCCGGTACGGCACCTTTTGTGTGTGTGTGCCAGCGTGTTGGGTTCCCCGAATCGTGACAATATCTACCCTCTGCAGTGTCGGGTAGGTTCCTTGGTTTTTTCTTCTTAGGGCCCACGATCTGGCCATAACACTATGTTTATTCACACTTTCATATATTGAATCTCATATCCAACAGGTTATCATCTTGAGACTCTTACAGTCCTGGGTTACTTCTACTTTGACAGCGCAACCTGACTCACATATCAGGTACTACGCCAGAACCAATTAATCTTTCCCTCTACCATGTTCTGAGGGGTACTGGTCCTAGGTTATATCACCCAACTAGGTAAAAGTTTCTGGTCTTAATCCATAGGCTAGTGGTCCCGCGAGACCAACACCCCTCTCCTCATACTCGGAGGAATACACCCCTTGGGCCAAATCATAGCTAGCCGTCTCGCATTGTCGCATAGAGAGGGCCTCACCTGTCACTCCCAATCTATCTTATGCTTTAAATACCACCGAGAGGCCAACACCCCGCCACAAAATTCGGTGGCCTCATACGTTCCCCTCGGGCCCACGCCTAGGTAGCGCCTCTCAGGCCACTTGGCAATTAGTAGGGACTCATCTTCACCATCCATAAGTATAATTGTTTCGCCGCTTGGCATTTCGCTAGCCTTACCAGTACCCACCAAAATAAACATTACACAATGATTGATTAAGTTTACTTATAATTTTCAGTTATGTCTATTAATCCTGATATCCCCGAGGAACTCTCGCTACCCTGCACTCCCGCTAGGCCTGGTACCCCTGTTCCTGCAACAGACGTTGCTAGCCCTGCTTCTCTCAGATCATGGACCGTCCCACGTCTCACGGCAGAACTGAGAAGACGCAGCATCCCTTTCCCAGCTACTGCTAGGAAAGCTGAGTTGTTCAGAGTTTTGAATACGGGCACTGACAACTCTGATTCAGGGGAAGGCCCTAGTGGCACTCAATTGCCAACATTTCACGCTATGATGACCTCACTCATGTCATCCATCAGCACAATTAATGACAGACTGGATAAATTGGAAACAAGTGGTACTAAACAGACCGCTACGAACCCAATTGAGGCCAGTCACCCTCTTGCTGACATGACTGGTAATACTTTGGAATCAGGGTCTCTTAGCAGAGAAATTAACCCCTCACACATGGTCCCATCTCACCTTAAAAAGGACATTCTGGAAGGCAAGGACGTCAAACTGGTGTCATTGCTTATAGCCTCCCAGGATGTCCTGGAGAATAGGACTTTTGCATACGGGGATATATCTGTCGTACTAAGGGCTAGAGACCCTAGACTAAACAAAAAACTGTCAATACCTGAATTTGTACTGGGATTTGGGATTTATAGAGATGTGTACTGCTCAGTATACCCAGGTAAAAGAGCAGAGCTGGATACATACATGCACAAGATGGTGGACCTGGGTCACAAATACGGTGGTACCGCTTTTTACGATTACCACCGTTCCTTTTCCGCAAAGGTGGCTGCAGCTCTGGCTCAGTTCAATTTAAGCATTAATTGGAGCAAATTGGACACAGAGCTATTCTGCAGGCATTTTGCAGGCCTCAGGCCTCCAGCATGTGCAGTATGCGCATCCACAGCACATCACACTAATCTCTGCCCTAACACAGCCGAGTTAGAACAAAATCAATCTTCCCCTTACTTTCCTAAATCTAACAAGGGTTTAAAAGACAAGCTGAGCAGAGACAATGTATTCCTGGGTAAATCTCAAATATGCAACAATTTCAATGCGGGCAATTGTGGATTTAGTTCATGTAGACTGATGCATGTGTGTTCACACTGTTTTAGAGCCCATGCCAAAACAATGTGCCCAAATAAAGCATTCCCAAAACCGTATCACACGTGTGAACGTCACTTTGTTAATAGCACTTTTACAGCCACATCCTTCACGTCATTTCACGGAATATATTTTTTGGGGCATGACCGAGGGTTTTCACACCGGGTTGGTCCATTTACCCTCCGGTACACTAGAATGCGACAACCTACAGTCCACTTTAGACGATCCACAGTTGGTAAATACACTTATCTCAACTGAACTTGAGCAAGGGTTTCTGTTGGGGCCATTCTTTTCCCCACCCTTCATGTCCTGGAGAACCAATCCTATAGGGGTGGTCACAGGGAAGACCTCACTTAAAACCAGACTGATAATTGATCTATCAGCACCACACTCCTCCACTATCCCCAGCCTAAACTCCCTAATACCTTCTGAAGAATTTTCACTGCACTACGCCACTATCGACCATGCAATAGGGGCCATCATACAAGCAGGTACGGGAGCATGGCTGAGTAAAACAGACGTGGTAAACGTCTTCAAGCTACTACCCATACACCCTTCCCTGTGGAATCTACACAGTATTAAATGGCAAGGAAGGTATTATTTTTTCACCAGACTTACTTTAGGCTCTAAAAGTAGTCCACGTATTTTTGACACATTTGCAGAGGCTCTATGTTGGCTATTACTAAATGTGTGCAAGTGCCCTTCGGTTATCCATTATCTGGATGTCTTCCTCCTGATTGAGAATAACACTCTTCCACCTAATAGTTTGAATCACTTATTGGCACTGTTTGAATATCTTAACATTCCTGTCTCTCCTCACAAAACTTTGGGTCCAGATACCTACATGCAATTTTTGGGCATACAACTAGACACGATAAACATGAAGGCCACTCTACCTCAGGACAAGATTGAGTGTACCCTGGCAAGTATTAAACATTACCTGCTACAAGGTCATTGCAATCGCAAAGAACTCCAATCACTGCTGGGATCGCTCAATTTTGCCATGAGGATCATACCCCAAGGTAGATCTTTTATATCCCACCTGTTATCCTTGTTTCCACTGTTTTCTTCAGACACTTCACATATCACATTAGATGTACACGCAACTTCTGATTTACGCATGTGGCGGGTTTTTCTCACCTCTTGGAATGGGCGAACCATGTTTATACCACCTCCCTCCGACACATCACCTACATTATGGACAGATGCCGCAGCTAACAAAGGCTTTGCCGCCATCTGGGGTGATCAATGGCTTTCGGGCCCTTGGCCGACCGAAGTCGAATCACTACCAAATTTTTCTGACACCTCGGCTTTATTTGAGTTGTACCCAATCGTGGCGGCAGCCATTGATTGGGGACCATATTGGTCTGGCCACACGGTCAGGTGCTACTCGGATAACCTGGCCACATGCCACATTGTGAACAAAGGCCGTTCGGCATCACTGGTCATTATGAGACTGCTAAGACGTCTCACATGGGTAGCAGCCACTTGCCAATTCTACATAACATGCATACACATCCCGGGATACACAAACACCGCTGCTGATCACTTGTCTCGGTTTCGTTTCCAGGCTTTCCTCTCGTCACTACCCAACGCTTCCAGACGAGCGGCACCTGCACCTCTTTTCCAAGACATGATCATGGATTAAAGACCTTGCTAGATCACGCACGTCACATTTCTCACATGGCACTCTCAGTAAACGCTAGGGACACTTATGATAGGGCATTTCACGTATTCAAAAAATGTATCACTGATTTTCACATTCACGACATGTTTGCATTAGAGACGATTTTGGGGTTTACCTCTTTTTGCCACATTAACCTTAAACTATCCTTCAATACTATTAAACTGTACCTTACTGGCATCCAACACCATATGCTCATCCAACAACCTAACAGTACTGCTTTTCTAACCTCATACCAAATTAAAACATTACTTAAAGGCATTAAACAATTAGACACACATGTTCCCTCACAAAGACTACCTATAGACAACAACATCTTCCACTCTCTATCCAACCTATTAGATTCATCTCCTTTCGAACCCATGACAAATAGCACCATCAAAACAGCACTATATCTTGCTTTCTACGGGTTCCTACGGCCTAGTCAATTCACAACCACAACCATAACTGCACCTAACTACCTCAGAACCATTGATCTACAGAAACATACTGACCATTATATTCTCTCTCTAAGACAATCCAAAACCAGGACCGATGGACACAGTATTCAGATACCCCTGTATCCTACTCACAATATATGGTGTCCTGTTAAAGTGTTAGACACTTATTCTCTTTCAGTCCACAAACAACCTCAACAGCCTTTGTTTGAACTGCATGGACACACTATGACCACAGCTAAATTCATGCTATACATAAGACTTCTGTTAACCAGGCTCGGCCTAAACCCCAATCAATTTTCAGGCCACTCTTTCCGTATAGGAGCAGCATCTTCCGAATCCGCTAACCACGTCCCCGCTCATATTATTAAAGCCATGGAGCGATGGAAATCCTCCGCTTACACACTCTACATACCCAATCCTGTTAAAGAATTAAGACAAGCTTTTTGTGACTTATCTCAATAAACAAAATTGATTCACGAATTATGTTTTCTG